GCATGTGGTGCTGGGGATCGAGCACTGTGCTTGCCTAAGCAGTGCTTAGTCGGCTGATCTTTTTTGAGACATGGTCTCACTGTGTAGCCCAGGCTGGTCTCAAACTTCTGGTGATCTTTGCTCTGTGCTGTGCCGACACAGGGAGGTGTCAGCAAGAAAAGGGGCGCCGAGGGCCGAGGCTGCCCCAGGCCAGGGTGAGCACAAAAGTAGGAAGGGGTGTCCCTTGGAGCTGAAATATGCCAGCGATCGCAACAACCAGCCCTCTTTGGGTCCTCCTGGTGGGGTCATGCGGATTTAGGGTCGATGTGGCCAGGAGCCCACATCCAGCTGAACAGGCATGGGCCACCATTCTCGGTTTCAAGGCCAGAACAATGTGGATCAAACTCAGGTCCTTGCACTTGCCAGGCAGGCACTTAGACTGCCAAGATACGTCCCCAACCCCTAAAGTATCACTTTAAAAAGTTGACCCAATCCTAAATTTTTAAAACATGGGCAAAGACTAGATATGGCCCCAAGCCCAAAGCAGGGACACAGGTGACCAAAGAGCACAGAAAATACGTGGGATGCCGTCAGTGCTCATGGGGGCCCCAGAAAGCCACAGCTAGGGAAGCGTGGCTCAGCACCGGCCAGGAGCAGAGGCTGGGACAGCTGGGGGGTGCGTGTGGGCCATCTGGCATCCGTGGCCGCTCCTGGAGGAGCTGGCGCCGCAGGCCCCAGCAAGCCCATCCCTGGTGTGCGTCTGCCCGCAGGACGCTGCACCAAGCGCCCTTGAGACTCCCTCATGCCAGCAGCCCTGGCGTGCATCGCCTATCCACGGGCACAGCAGCAGGGCATGTCGGTAGAGCAGGTGCCGCCAGTCATGGCAGGATGCAGAGCGAGGTGCGCTCTCCAGGTAAGAAAGCCAGGCAGGGCGGTGCCAGGCAGGCAGAGGCCTCGCACCGCTCTGGAGAAAGCTGTGGAGTTTGAGTGATCGTTGGTGAAACCTTGTGACTCCACCAATAAAGACTGAGGTGAATCCTTTTAAAAAGAGGTAGATACAATAAAAAGCAAGAACAGAAAAGCGGTGACGCCGACGTGTGCCCCAGCCGCAGGTCCAGATGTCAAACTGCCAGATCCTGCACCAACACAAAGCAGGCTCCGCTGCCGCCCAGGTGCCCAGCACAGACAACGCTGACTCCAGCCTCTGATGGGGGACAACAGCTACAGGAGCCACGCCCGACCTTCTGACCTGAGGGCGGAGGCTGCGGTGGGGGGGTGCTCTGGGAGAAAGTTTCTTCTGAGAAAACATCTTGTACCCTGTGGGCTGCCTGCCCACTCGGGTTGCCCGGGTTGCTGTTGTTTCTGGGACAAGGCCTTGTTATGTAGTTCAGATTGGCCTTCAATCACAGTGATCCTCCCGCCTCAGCCTCCCCAGGGCTGGGATTACAGGCCACCTGGGCATATCTGCTAATGCAGTGTGAACGTCAGCCATCCCATGTCCAGTGTGTGTGCCCAGGGGCCTGGGCCCCATGAGTTCCTCCTCCCCGTCATACTCTGCCTCACCATCGTCCTGAGTGCATCCCGTGGGACTCCGGTCTGCAGGCCAGTGACAGCCTTCACCTTGCTTACTGCTGCACTGTGGGGTCTGACTGGCTGGGGGGGGGTGGCTGGTGAGGAGAAGTCCCAGTCCTCCAAAGGCTTCTCTGGGCTAAGGGAGACAGCTGAGCCATGGCACTGGCGCGAGGCCCTGCAGTCAGACAGGCGCCACGGTCCCTGGCACTGGGTGGCCTGTGGCACTGGGCCACTCACCCGCCTGAGCCTTAGGCCCAGCCCCCACAACAGGCACAGGGAGGCCTTCCTCAAGGTGGGGCCCATATATTCCCACTTTGGATCACAGCCTGGCCTGGGCCCGTCAGAGCCAACCCTGTTTTGTGGTAGGAAGAAGGGTTTGCTGCCAGAGGTAAGCAGAAGCAGCACAACAGCCCAGCCCCAGGGCCCGGCCCCGGGGCCTCCAGACCCTGAAGCGCAGGTGCTGGGGTGACTCCAGCCTGGGGGTCAGGTCTGTAGGAAGTGCTCCAGGGGACATGGAAGGGAGGGCCACCCCCGCTGCGGGCAACATAGAGAAGGTACAGGGCCTCTGGCCAACAGGGAGGGTATGAAGGGGCCCAGCAGAGGGGCTCGGGCACCCCAGCTGGGGGCGGAGGACACAGGTGGAGGCCTCTGCACTAGAACTGCACCCCCAGGAGCCAGCTGCCTCACAGGGCAGAGGAGGATCTGGGCCATTCTCCCTTCCACAGGGTGACAGTCCCGCCTGCCCGAGAGCACACAGGACCTTCCCAGCTGAGTCTCAGAGTCCAACATCAAAGAGGAAGAAAGGACCAAGGTTCCAGACCCGGGGGCTTTACCATACAAAAAACATTTATTAACCCAGGTTTCCTCCTCTTGGTGTAACACATGCCCAAAAAGTCAGAAAGCCCCCAGGAGGGCCCTGACTGGCAGCCTAGAATGGGCTGTGGCGTGGCACTAACTGCCACCTGGTGCGGCCCAGAATCCAGGACGCCTGCATCTGGGGGCATGCTGCGGTGGCCCTGGGGTCCTTGCGTCAAAGTGCCGCTGCAGGTGTTCCTGGCACAGGCAGGTGGTTGTGCCCTCGCAGCTGCGGGTGGGGCCTGGCCCCTTGGCAGCCTGGCAGACTTCAAGGCCTGGCACCTCCCTGTGGTGACAGTCAGCGTGCTGCACACCCAGATGGCCAAAGTAGTCGCGCAGGACACACCCACCCGAGGCGGGACTCCACTGTCATCTTCCTGCCACACGCCCAGGATGTCACTGCTGCTTGTTCGGAGCGGCCTTCAAGACAGGTGGGAACTTCCTGTGCATCAGGGTGAGCCCACAGAGGATGAGGAACACGCCTCCCCACCAGAGCACCTCCTGGCACTCGCCGTACAGCGCATAGCCCAGCAAGGCCTGCGGGCAGAGACAGCGTCAGGGCCCTGGCCACAGGTCTGCAGCAGGAAGCTCGGGCTCCCCTTCCGCCTTCCAGCCCCAGGCCCAGCAGGGGTGAGGGGAAGCCTGGGAGACATCCCAGCTGGGAAGGACCCCTGTCTGCAGGGGCAGCGAGCAGGCAGGCTCTTTCCTGTCAGGCTTCATTCCCACCTCCCGAGATGTCTCGCGATGAGCTGCTCTGCGGCTACAGGTGAGCAGCCAGACTCAACCAGGTCAAGCCTCTGCCCAATCTCCAAGTCACTTTGTGTCCCTTCTGTCTGGGAGCAGTGGCTTGTGGAGGATGCACTCAGGACCCAGGTTTAGGACAGGGCACCATGTGCGACACATGGCCTTGGGGTACTCACCGAGCTGAGGATGTTTGCAAAGGTCACTGTGACAGATGCAATGGCTGATGACATGGAGAAACTGAGGCCCCGGCTAAAGAAGGTCCACATCAGAGAATTGGCACTGAACATCAGAACAATGCCTGCAATGCACAAGGCCACGTGGACCTGTGGAAGAAAGCGCTGCTGCAGCCGCCCTCACAGGACACCCTCCACAGCCCAGGCAGCCTCACAACTTCCTGCACGAGACTCCCACAGCGGCCAGTGTGCAGCTGACCCATCTACAGAGGAAACAACCCTGGCTGGCCCCAAGGCCTTAGACAGAAGCAAAATGTGAACACAGAACAGTATTTCCCACTGAGTACAAGTCCCTGCTGTCCACGGTGCCAGTGCTGAAGACCCAGTGACCTGGCGTGGTGGCTCCATTATTTGGCATGCAATCTGAGGTCAGGATGGGACCTCACTTCTGGGATCAGGCTGACTACAAGGGGCCACAGCAGTCTCCGCACACGGTGCGAGGGCTGTGTCCCCTAAAGCAGCCCCTTAGGGTGCCTTGGTGCTGTGTACTCAAAAATGCTGTGCATTCTTGGTTACCCAGCTGACAGATGAAGAAGTAGAGGCATTATGTCACTTCCCTCAGGTGCCAGTGTAGAGCATCACCAGGATTCAACCCCATTCCTCACTGGGACCCAGCCCTGCCTGGGGACAGGCCACCTGGGGCCATCTGGCTTGTCCTCTCAGACATCACTTGGAGAACCTGCGCAAATGTGCTTTCCTTCTCGCTTTTTAAAATGTATTTTAGGGGCTGGAGAGATGGCTCAGTGGTCTAAAGCACCTACTTAGAACAAGCTTAGCAGAGCACAGGGACCGCGGTTCAATCCCCCAGCACCACATGCCAGCCAGCCCCGCCCCCTGGTGGGCTGAGCTGGCCACACACACACACACACACACACACACAATAAATAAATGCTAAAAATAAATAAACAGCAGAATATATTTAAAAAAAAATAAAATAAAATGTATTTTAGTACAAGGGTCTGCAGGGTCTCCCTAGGTAGATTAGACTTGTGATTCTTGTGTTTTCAGCCTCCTAAACACTGGGATTACAGGTGAGTGGTCTGAGGGCGCCCTGGGGGCAGAACCAGCATGGCAGGCCAGGGATCAAACCCAGGCCATTGTGCTCTGCCTAATAAGGCACTTTAGTCTGCTGAGCTATTTGGCCGGCCCTTCTTGCCTGGTTATTTTTTGGCGGAACTGGGGATTGAACTCAGACCCTTGCACTTGTTAGGCAAGCACTTATTCTAGAATCCCAGGCCCTTCACCTGGTTTTCAATAGAACACCTTGAGAGAACAAAGGGCCTTAAGAATCCCTCTGCCCAAAGGGCATGCAGTTTGCTTGCTTGTGCCAGAGGAACCCACCTGTAGACTTGACACTTCTTGGTGGGGTGTGGGGGGGCACTTTTTTCTTTTTTTAAGACACTGTCTCACTATGTCTCCCCCAGGCTGGCCTTTAACCCAACATGTAGCCCAAGGCTGGCCTCAAACTCGAGATCCTCCTGACTCGGCCTCCCAAGTGCTGAGATTACATAGCAGGTGTGTGCTACCACACAGCATTATACTTATTGCTTGTCGATTATCCAGCAGCTGAATACCAAGCGTCTTGAGGACTGGGGGCCTTCTTGTAATTTACACAAAAGCATCCTATGGGCCAGTGGCAGCCTCTCCTACAACACATAAAGTTATGAAACGCAGATCACAACGCCAAAGACTAGAAAACTTCATGGCCCCCGAGAACGATGCCCAACGGAATGCTAACTTCAGCACGGCAGAGCTCACTACATTTGCCCCCAATAGGCTGGCACCTAAATAATGCATCTCGTGCCCCGATCAGGGTCCAGGCCTGGGTGCGGGGACAGTGAGTCTTGTAGCGAGTAGGCTGGTGCAACTCTGCACACCATGGCAGCGGCTTGGGAGGGGTCGAGGACCCATCTTTCGGGGTTCCACCGTGCCTCGGTTACCCTGACAACCAATTTTGCTGGCAGCAGGTGAGATGGGTCAAAAGACCAACGAACGACGTTGATGACGGAGAAAAAAGATGGGCAACTGGTTTCTCACCTTCAGCTCCGTGCAGAGAAAGGCTGAAGCCCATTTAAGGGCTTAAAATGAGAGGCAGAAGGCGGTCCCCCCGGGAGCGAGAAGCCCGCACGGAAGGGG